ACACTGAACCAGCTCTTAATGCCAAATTCTTGAGCTGTGCATCAGCCCATTGCACACTCTCCTCCCAGTCTCATGCCCTCTCCATCTCAAGGTTTCACTTCCGTGGAAAGACAGGGCCTGCTACTGTCCAGGACAAGACTGGAGTCACCACTTCAAGCRTTACTGTTTCGTGCAGGGAATTGCACTTGTGTGCCAAATACAGAAATACCTCCTCTTGATATATACTTTAATCAACTGCTACAAGGCAATTCTTCTTTTGATAAGTAAGAAAAGGTAATAACTGTTTTTCCATAGTCTGCATCTTTAAGGAAAAGGAACTGTAATGTACAACTTGGTAGGACTCCAGGCACAAGAGGAAATGGGTTATAGCAGTTGTGACTGTGCGGAGCAGATGTTTTGGTTGGACTGGCTATCAACCATCTGACTCATAATAAATTGTCAGTTCCAGTAAATTCCCAGTTTTCAATTACAGTAGGTAGGATATGAGAAAACAATGCTGTTTGGATGGTGTATTTAAAGTGGTTTTGATGGTAATTTTCATAAACAACTCATACTAGCTTTGTAAAAAGATTAAGGATCTTGGAAAGAGAACAGCTGTAAACATTGAAACATGCATTTGAATGTAAATTGAGATTAATACAAATGAAAACTAACAAATGGCTGTTAAATGCTGATACAATTRGAAATAGGATTTTAAGCTTTTCTTTGGAGTTTCATGATCAAAGTCTTTTCATGATGTATATGGGGGAAAATTTCTAAATGCCTTAAAATTTTCAAACTTCCATTTTTATCTGTTCCCTTCTACATCTATATTTTCACAAGGTGTCTTGTTCTTGAGCTTTAAAAATGCATACTTGATGAACCTTTTATCTGCACTGGCTAAGTAGAAAAAGGGTGAATTAGAATCAAATACCATTAGTTTTCTGTTTATTAAAAGTTTTATTTATTTTTGTARATTGTTGCTAGGTTTCTGTAATAGGAAAAAAGCCTATGAGTTGAAAATTTCTGGAGATTTTTKTTGCTGTTGTTCTTTTCCCACCACATTACTTTGGAGGTTTAGACAAGGATGAGGCCCCATTGTGCWAAGTATTCTGTAAACATAGGAAGCCCCTTGCAGTTCTTTAGAAAGAACACTATTTATTTTCAGTGTTAAGGACTGTATCCACTTTTTTCATGTTTGATTTGAAGRGCATTTTTCAGAAATGAGAAAAATACTTAAAAAAAATAAATAGATAGTAGCAAGGTGGCAGAAAGGCACCATGGAAGTCTGTGTTGGATCTTTTGCATTGCAATGTTCTAGAGGTTGGGTTTTTTACTATCAGGCATGAGACTGTTGTGGAAAAAGTAATAGGTGTGCATTATCACATGCTTAACTAATGATCTCAAGCATTTTTACATTCAGTTTTTAAACCTCAAAATKCCTGTGGCCCAGTATGTGCTCTCTGTTCAGTTAGAAGTGCATTTTAATAATACCTTCTGTAGAGTCTTGTGTGGAAAATGTTCTGTGAGTATAAAATAACACTTTATTGTGGCAGTTAATCTTGAAATCTAACATGTATAGAAAATTCTGTCTTCTTAGAAAATCAGTTTTTCTTTAATAAAAAAATAATTTGTTTAATAAAATAATCTAGCATTAAGTGTTGTGAGTTAAATACAAATTATAAGGACAAAAAGCATGGCTACTTCAATACTAAAAAAAAGAGATGTGACTTTAGTTCAAGAACCTCTTTTTTTTTTTTTTCCTAAAAGGATATAATATTGCCAAAGCAATTGGATGTCACTGTCTTTTGAGGCCAACTGAAAAATAAGAACAGAGGTGAATTTTACTTTGCTGCTYTATTTAGATCTGGTCTCTCCTTTGACATAAATACACATGCAGAAATGGGAAAAGGGAAGACAATGCCTTTGCAGGATTTAATAAGAAGCGTTAAAACAACAGTTGTCTTTGGACACTTTGGTGMAATGAAAAGATCTCAGCCCCTGTTGTGGGCAAATGTCATGATCTGGTAATAGAAGGCTCCATCCTCTCATCTCATCACTTACAGGTTTCTAGAGATGATCAGGACAGAGATCACTGAAGGAGTTAAGTTTTAACTGGCACAGACAACMTCAGAAAGGTTTATTAGTTGAAAAGTTTTCCACAGTTTATCTGTAAGACATGTGGTTTTGGTTTGGTTTTATAAACGGCAGTTGTAACAGATATACTGGTCTCSAATGCAGTTCTACCAAGCAGCTTCTGCCATGAATAAAAGTAACAAATTCCAAAAGAAATAAATGGTATGGTGTCAGATAGAAGGCAGTTGGTTTTAAATCTGTGGCCACCTGAACAATAAGTTTGAGCAGCTTCATGGTGTTGCTGCACTGCTTCTTTTAACAGGAATGCTGGGGGTTTGGGTCTTTTTTAAGTAACAATTTTCATTTCTCAGGGCTGAAAATATGCATCTATTTGAAAAGTGGTAGTTACAGAAGAACGCCAGTTTCTTTACTTGGATTTGCATGGGACAGTAACTGCGTGAACATAACACAGCACTCYGCTGGCAACAGGAGCTGTGGTCATGTTTGTTGTGTGTGCTTTTGTARATGGAAATGGAAAGATATCATGTCTCAATTTATTGCTCTTACTACATATTTCATTTTACTGCAGCTTAACATGCAAATATACAAAGATTTTTTATGTGGTTGTGTGGGGTTTTTCCCCTGGCATGAGTTTTCATATAAAGTTCACAAATGAGCATAGAAAATATAATGTAACATTACTGTGTGTGTTAATGGATGCTGTAGTGGCATTTGCCTCGTCTGTTTTGAAGTTGGTTTTTGTTTCCTTGTTTTGACTTTCTTCAATCAGGAAGCACCTGATAATATTCCAGAAACTGGTCTTATACATGGTGTCAAGCTGTGTGTGCACATTCCTTAAACAAAAATGCAATACTAAATTGGGGATTTACTATCCATGACAGAGCTGGATGCAGCACTRCAGGTGGGGTCTCAGCAGAGCAGAGTGGGAGGGCAGAATCCCCTCCCTTATTCTGCTGGCAACACTGTTTTAGATCTGSCCCAGGGTACAGTTGGCTTTCTRAGCTTCAAGTGCACGTCACTGGGTCGCRTTAGGCTTCTCATCAACCTATCCATTTTATGTACCTGTCATCTCTTGAGGAATGCCCATTAAAATAAAATCTTTTTAATTGTTATTAGCATTAAAAGCATTACTGTTTAATCTCTCTTAATAGTTCTTTCGTTTGATTGACAATTAGCAAATTAATGGGAAAAAGCCAGTTAATGCTATGCTCAACTTCAGAATTGAAAGCTGTTCCTTATTTAATTTTTTTTCTTTAATGGTGGAAGTATATTAAATACTGGGGAAAAGGTCAGGGTGGATTGTATTCGTGGRTATATCTTGTTGTCTTGTTGGTAAAGGTTTTGCAATCTGGTCTGTTTTCTCTTGTGCAGGTGATAGAACCACTTACAAAGGTATCATGAGATCCYGTCCTTTGCTTTTACAGGCAACTACATCACCTAATCCTATCCATAAATTGATCATATCACAACAGGACATCAGCATTGTTTGTCATCACCACTCATATGGAGTGTTGTCCTGCAATTTAGGTTAAAACCATACTCTGATTTCCAGCCATTGTGTGCTTGTGACCATTTTACAGGCAGTTCTAAGGAGTACAGTTTTCTTTCAGCTGTCAGAAGTGAGCTGCACACCAAGGCAGAATTTAAGAAAACACTGTCAGTTCTGTCTCATTTTTCATCTAAGACAATTARGCTTTTTTAAGACCCATTCTTCCCTGCAGCTTATCACTAAGTTTCTTGGCATGTAGTGTTCTGCACGTAACAGCTGCTATGCAGCTCGTCTCTCTGGACATTAACAGCTTCAGTCCTACCAGAGCTTCGAACGGCACGAGATTGCCTTCCTGAAAACACTCAGCGGTCACTTAATTTTTTTTCTCCCCAGATAGGGCAGGGCTTCCTAACAGTATTTAAGTGGTTTGCCTGTTCCTTCCTCACAGCTGCCTGTAGGACAGAGCATACCAGGGTGCTCTGCAATATGTTGATCCTGCTTTGAGCGCATATCTTATTTCCTCTCCTATTTTTCCAAAACGGATRAAACAAATGCATCTTGGCAAGTTGCTGTGTACATATGCACGAACATGTTAAAAGATGTATTTGTGAGCAGAAAGTGGCACTGTATTATTTGCTGTCAGTGAAGGTGACTGTGCTTCTAACTCATTGCTTTCTAACTAGAGGTCAAGATCATAGATGAAAGTTGTGTGTGGCAGAAATACACTTGTTCATACTGTGTATGATTTATGAATTAGAGGGATGTCAGGTCCTAMCCAGAAACAATCTGTTCTAGATGATCCCAAAGCTGTAACTGATTATTCTTTAAAGAAAGCCTAAACTGTGTAAGCATTAAGATTGAATTGTGTTTMGCATGTTTTTTTCCCTACAGTAATTTTCTAGAGTCCGCACTCCTTGCTGAAAGTAATGAATGGGTTTAATTTGCAGGAAACTTGGGGGCAGTGACTTCTAGGTATAAATTTCTAATTGCTAAAATGTTTTTCATCCAAATGAGGAGCTGAATACACCAGAAAGTTTGGACCATAAACTACTGTGAAAAATAACAAATACAAAATGTGTGGGTCATAATTCAGTGATATCACATTTTAAAAAATTCTTCAGCATTGCATCTGATGTCAAACCAGGAATTCCCAAAAACAAAATCTGCATCTTTACTGAAATTTATAGTTCACCGAATTGAAGAAGAGCTACACTACTGTATACTTGATAACTCAGTAATTTGATGCATTAAAGGATATTAAACTGAGCAAAATATCTTTAAAGTGCAAATACAGGAAGAAAGAATAAATTTGCAACCTGTTTTGCAATGGTTAAATTCCTCACTTAAGCATTCCTAAATAAATTTGTGTTTGTCCGTAAGCTTTTAAATATTCAGTTTGTTGTTTACCATTTTATATTTACTTTTATATGTACAGGATGTGAATGAAGACCCTGGAGAAGATGTTGCGCTTCTCTCCGTTAGTTTTGAGGACGCAGAAGCTACTCAGGTTTTTCCTAAGCTGTACCTCTCCCCACGTATTGAACAGTGAGTTGGACAGATTCTTTCTGGAATGTTTATTCTACTTCATCCCAGAACTTTTCTATTTTTTTCCTGATACATGTGATAACATACTGGATGATTACATACTATTGCTTTATGTTGCTTAAAGTCATAGCGTTTATTGCATATGTGTGTGTGTGTGTGGTGGAGAAATGACAGATCTTCACTCAGCTGGTTCTGCATCTATGTGATATTCCTCTAACAYCACAGTCTCTGAAAACTCTTCTGTCCTTTCCTGTGGCAGTATATTTTGAATGCCTTCTAAGGTACAACATAGTGATAGCTTTTGTGGGGAGGAATCTTTAATTTTTTTCTTTCTTTTGGGAAGGTGAGCTCTCTATGTAAACATAATACATTTGAATAAAGTATTGTTGTAGAAGCTAAAGGGCCTACTTAACTATGCTTGAGGAATCTGCAGCTTTAGTAAGTTACTTTTTTCAGGAGAATATCTGAATATTTTAAGAGCATCGAACCTTACCAACATGTTTACCAGTTGGCAAATAGATTTGTTGAGAAATAAATTTTTACTCCATACAATGGAAGACTGAGGAATAAAAATCAATCTGTTTCCATTAAATTTTTTTCTTCCTTTTCTGGAATTGAGAATGTTTTAATGCTTCTCCTTGACTTCAGTATCTCAGTCTTGTAATGCTTAAAAAAGTAACTATGTTAGATTTTTCAGGTATACCACAATCAAACTGGTCTGGCATTGTTGCAATGTTTTTCTGTCTGATACTGCAGTGACTTTCTTCTGAATTGGTGATGATTCTTCTCTGTAGAGTAGAAAAGATGGGAAATACTGGCTACAACTGTTTTATAATAACTTGGGGATAAAGTCTGTGTGAATGAAGAAACATATTTTCTTGACATTTTGCTCAACAGAATATTGATCTGGATAAACTCTTGGATGCAGTGTATGAAATATAAGCAGAATTTGATTTAGATAAAGACATAAGATTTCTGAGATACTTTATTTAAGAAAATGTAGGTTCCGTGTGCACGTGCAAACACAGGTAATAAAGTAGCTTTTACATTTTCATATTTTTCATCAATTCACACTTTTGTCAGCATCAGTTGAGGGAATAATTGTAGTCAAACATGTAATTATTCTTCATGTTCCAAAGGATTCTTTTTCTGAACTCTTAAAAGCAAATGGGCTGCCATTAGTTTCCATTGTATTTTCAGCTATAGTCACATGTTGATGGTTAAGTGTATTTCAGGCCACCCAGGTATATCTGTCTAAATCATCCATGAGCTAATGAATGCATTGCTTATTTTCCCACTTTCACTATCTTTATGAAGATGTTAACCTCTTGATAGCAAGCAGAGTAGCAATACAAAGGAACTCTTTGTCTTCCTAAAAGTGTTGCATTTTCTCTCAGTGCCCTAAAGATCATCTGATTTTAGATGTGTGATGTAGAGCGATACAGCAGAAAGATACTCGAGTGGTGTTGGTATGTATATGGCATGTCTGACATATTTATGGCTTTGTTCTTTGTATCCAGTGCAGTCATGTTAAAATCATGCCAGGAAACCCTGGAGCTCCATGCCACACCTTGTCACATTATCTGTATGTTGAAGTTGAGATACTTCACTCATCTAAGTCAGTCTGTCTTTCTGCATTTGTAACATTTTCATCACAGTATCTGTGTACTGATAATGCATAATTTCTGAAGTTGCTTGTGAGCTATTGCACCTGCCTTTGTGCTACTGGCTACTTTTTATGTGCCATAAAAAAATGTATGGGTATGCTTCCAGTGTTTGTATAATTGTGCTTTAATAGCAAAAATATAGTTCTCTCTTGTTCTTTCCCCAAAACCAGTCTCTGCTCTGTTTAGCAGGGGCTGACAGTCTAGATATTAACTTCCTAGTGTTTGGGAACTGAAGCAATGATGTGTACTTCTTTATACTTTTTGCCAAAAGTACAAAAAGCCTCAAGAAGCCCTGAGGATTAGTTAATGACTTGAGACCGTGGCATGTTACATTTGAATTATGTTCTGCTTATAAAAGTTCTTTCCTCCTGCTCACAGTAATTGGATCTACAGAAACCATGTAAGCAAATTAGCACTGTATTTTTTCTATGCAGCAGATTTTGAGGTGTACCAAGTAGTAGTTGATAGTTCCCAACATAACATTCCCAAGTACTCAACAAAACATGAAAAATACCAAATTCCCACAATTATTTTGCTAATACTAAACTATGTTCACTTTAGGAAGAATGAGCAAACAGGAATAGCATTTTCCTGACATATGAAATAACATTTCAGGGTTGTAGAGAAATAAGAGGAAAAGAGCCTGTTTGTGTAAAGTGTGTTGTCTCCTGCTTTCCCAAGAGTTTTCGTTGCTTTTGTGCTCTGCCRTATAAACATGCATTCCTGCATTGCACTTTCTAAAAATGATACATACCCACAGATCTTGTCAGCAAAGTCCTAGCATAGGTTTTTTGCTTTGAAGGGTTTTTAGTAAAACACATTTGCTCTGCTTTTTTAAATGGATAGTAAGAATAATACTACTAAGACTTTGACTGCACTTTGTCGTAGACTCTGGAAGAGAGATTTTGGAAATCAGGGAAATATCCACCTCTTATGGTGTGGGGTGAAGATGTTAGTATATACTTTGTCTTGAAAAAGGTCCATGTATTGAAATGCAATAGAGAAGAGTTGTGGATCATTCAAGTCAATACTAGAACTTTATTGACTTTTGTGGTGTGTGTCTGACTGCAAGAGTGTCAAGTGCATTTCTTACAGCCAAACAACCACCCCCACATTTAGGGATGGGAAGCATTTGTATTCACTTGTAAAAATCTCATCAATACCTATTCATAACTATACCTGGTTTAATTCTTTCATTAAAACTTGTTAATTTGAAAAGTTCATTTCAATACTATTTGTTCAAACTACATTAACAGCAACTTTTAATGTTTCCTTAATTTGAAATGTCACTTTAAAAAGCTTACATTCTATAGTTTTTAGACTTCTGACTTTTTGTTGCACTACATCAATAAACAGATGCCAATAACAGTTACTTTCAATTATTTCAAAATTAGATCAAGTTAAAATGCAACAAGGTATATTTATGAGATGTATTTATTTTTAAACTACCATCCTACTGCAGTATCATAGAATACAGTTTCTGCACACTTCTGGAGGAAGTGGTAAGCTGATAAACCACACAGACTGACCACACAGCTTGAGAGGTTGGTACTGTCAGCATCTCTGAGTGTGTCCCCAACTCATCCTTCACTTCCTCCCATCTCAGGGTGTGGGACTTGTCTCAGGATGTTCTCTGTCCTTTGCTGACAGCTGCTGTGCTTTGGGTAGGGGGTCATAAACATGAGCTAGATTGGCACAGCTCTGTTCTGGGGCACGATAAGAACCTGCTGGGGTATTTACCCTTTATATTTCTGTTGCATTTGTGTGAATTATTCATAATGTCTCTAAACCTGTTGGTAGAAAGCATCTTACTTGTTTAAAATTGCCTTTCTTGTCAAAGTGTACTAGATACTCATATAGGAACGAAATTTGTAATAAAACTGCCCATCATATCTTTGTTTTCCATCTGTTAAAAGTCATTAGACTCCAAATCCAAAGAATCAATGCAGGATTGAACAGCTGATTTCTATATTAATTCTTAAAGTGTGTGTCAGCATACTACGCATGAATGTGGATCAGAAGGTTTTGGGATTTTTTTCTTAAGAGAAAAAATTCAATATTTGTAATTTCTTTTCCTTCATGAGTCATCCATGCTAAAGAACATAAAGAACATAAAAATGGGTTCATCTTGGTTCACATTTTAAGAAAAAAATATATTAGGGTAGAAACACTGTTGCTCAGTGAATGYAGTGTTCCCTGTGTTCACAGAAATAATCCTGCAATAAACACTGTTGTCCTGGAGGGCTTTTCTCTGATAAATACGCAGACGTGAATATGCTAAGAAAACCAGCTGTCAGTAGAAGTTGTTTTGCTTAAATGGATCAGGCTCCATGCTTTGGGGACTAAAATGGTCGTTTTTTACTGGTCTGGGAGCTGTGCCAGAGGGTTCTTCGTGACTGAGGGTGGTATGCAGAGTTCGGTGACTGCATTTAACCTTCTCATAYGGGCAGGGGAGAATAACAAGAACCTGATCTGAACTCTTAGGCTTTAAATGCTGCTGTATGTTTTTCACTGATGGAAGAAGAATTTGAATAGAAAATTAAACATGTGTGTTTGCTTTAAGGTGTTTCCTGTCTTTTACCTGTGGTTTCTGCTGGGAATTGGAGGAAGAAAGCCATAAAATGTAACCCATTTATTGCCAAGGACCACCTCTTGCTACATTTGAGATACAGGGGGGCTGTGAAGGGCTTCACCTTTGATGTTGGCCTGCCATGTTGCCACCAGTAGAATCCTGTTTCAGAATGTTTATGAATACATTAAATGAATGGTTGTGCCGAGGCCTTTTTGTATGTCTGCTTTGCAGAAGTCAGAAGTAAGATCTTCAGTTTGACATAGTAAAATATGCTTATGCATCTGAGTTGATGATTTCAGTAGAATTGTCAGTAGTCATCCAGGGCAGTCCATGGCTTCTTCAAATCYCAGAACATTTTTGCAGACATGGGAAGCAGGAGGAATGACTGTTGCTTTGCAGTGCTTCYTGTTCCATTGACCTTGTTTGGTCAGTGTCTGGCCAGTGCATCAGACTTACCTACTGCCTGCTATGGGGGCCATGCCAAGTCAGCCAAGTCTTCAGAAACTGTAGCCTGATTGCCAATCTAGCTCTGCTTTGCAATTCTTCCTGTGTCCTAAAAATCATCTGTTTTGCTGCTACCAACTTTTGATGGCCTGCTGACATCTTCAGAAGAGATCAGGACAGGCTGGGACTGGCAGTCAGAGCAGATTGACTTGTGCTTCTATTCCAGGCATTCAACTGTACTGATTGTTCTTTCCCCCTGCCCCCCACCCCCCTCCCCYGAAGCTGCTATAGAGCAATTAGGGAAAATAGTTGTAGGA